TACACTGCATCTTGTTGTTTTACTGTGCCTCACTGGTGTTCTCTGAATACGCTACATTTTCTGGGTAAATTATTTCCCTGTAGGTAGTGGTGTGCCAATTCAAGATAATAGACTTTTCACATGCTGCTGTTAATCTATGCACTGGACACAGTTGTATATATTCTTGTTACACTACATGAATCTTGAGCTTCTTAAAAGAAATTTGTGTATATCACAGTTGCTCCAAAGTTGACTTGAATTGCTCTTTAACAGTGGAATATTATATTTGCTAAGGAGAAAATATTCCCCTCTGCCCTATAAAGAAACTGCTGCATACCAGTTATTTAATATTGTTTGTGAGTACATAATGATTGATTACTACTGAATGGGTTGTAAATGATATCTTTTCTATATAAATTTTATTTTAAGAGTTAAACTATAAATTTTAAAGGAATATTCAGCTATTACTGTTTATTGGCTTCTTGATTATAACAAGAAGTTTTATAGAGTGCAATAAAGGAAGAACTACTGGTTTGGGTTTTTTTTTTTTTCTTTTTCTGAAAATAAAAGATTCAAGAAGGTTCTTTGGCCATACAGTTTGTAATGGCTCTGACAAGGTACACAGATATGTATATGGTAATGAGGTAAGCGGATGATTAAAGATTCAGTAAAGATTCAGAACTGAGATGACATGAAGAAATGTCTTCAACTTCTTATATTCCTTTTCTGTTGGTTGAAGGTGCAATTTCTGTAGCTTTTCTCGTGGATTTTTGTTTGGTTTGTTTTTTGGTTTTGTTAATTCACTTGCACTTCTCGTCTTGGTGGGTTTAGTTACTGCATATCTTTGGGGCAAAATGTTGCTCAGCTGCTCAGCACGTGAAATTCTTCAAGCTTATAAAGACACAGCCTGACATATTTTACATGTTTGGGCTTCGAGATACAAACGAATAAAGGGTACATTCTCAGCTAAGAGGCTATAAGCAGCAGAGGATTTGCATTCAGTTTCTGTAGACATGTAATAGTGTTACGCATGGCATATTAATACATCCGTGCTCTCTGAAAGTGCACAACTATTTCTCTGATTCAGAAAATAGCTTATTTATGAAGACTGTGGCCGCTGGAAGCTAGAAGGTTGTTTTTACACCCTGTATTGTTTGTTGGTGTTTGTTCTGTCTGCGTTTCCACTCACATCTGTATAAAATGGAGATAAAATCACAACAAGCCGAGTCTAAACAAGTAGACATAAAATCCCAAAAAGGGAGTAGCCATTTGATTTCCTCTTTGCTAGACTAAAATCCTAAACATCTTGTGGCAAAAGAAAAACCTAATGAGTATGGAAATGGAAGGATTCCATCGGTTTTACTGATGGGCAGATGTAAGGTTGACTTTGAAGAGATGCGAGTTATCTGCTTAAGGTCCAAGGATTCTTGTATGCGGGGTCTGCTGCGCAGTTGCGTGACAGGTAAAGGGGTTGGCTGGCGTTTACGTTTGCAGAGTTAGCATTTACCAAATTGTATCTGATGTTCTGCATCACTTGTGTTTGTTGTATGGAACAGGAAACACTGCCAACTCTAGTTACCACTGTAGGTAAATCCTGTAAACTTTCTTCTTTTGATGGTTCTTTAATATTTCTTAGTCTAGTAAAGGTCCGGATTTTTATATAAATCCAATATATTCCAATATAATTGATGTCTTTTTGTTGTTGTTGTGGTAAAATGGCAATGGCTTATCTCTTTTGAGTGGCTGATTGCTGATTCAGTCCCTGTTTTCAGCCATAGAGTCACCCAAGTGCTGAGATAAGTCAGCTATTTTCAGTCTTTGCGCCACACCAGCAAACAGGTACAGTTGAAACATGAGTACTGTACATGGTAAGACTTTTCCCTTTCCAGCTCGAAGATGGGTGTTAACAGAACGATAATGCGCTATTCTTAGCTAATTGTGTTATAATGAAGCAGAATGCTTTCCAGCGACAACGGTGGACCTACAAATCCTTCCAGTGTTACTCATCTCGTGTGAGGGATTTTTGTCTTCGGGGGAGACGACAGCCCTCTGTCATGAGGCATAGCAAGTTAGCGAGTGGGAAAGGATCCAGCGATGTTAGAAATTCTGCCCTAATTTATCCAGGCCTTTGTGCTGTCACTGTGATAAGCAGAAACTGAGAAAAAAGTTTCCAAAAATGGCTTGACACGTGTAGATATTCTGTGAACTCCATTCCAGAAGCTGATATAAATGTAATAGAAGGTGAGATCATGTCATTTACAAAGAGGCTTTTACAAATCATCACCATTTCCTGGGTAAGTATTGCCCTGAGAGTTTTTTCATGTTACAGTTCATGATTTTAATGCTTCGCTTCACTTGGTCTGAGATTTTCTGGGGATTTACACACTTGCCGGACTTGGGTGCTGTTGCCTCAAGCTTTGAAGGAATTCCAAAGGCTTTCCTGGTGTCAGGTAATTCAGGTTTGACTGCAGGGTGGCAGGGAAATGTGCAGACGTTCCTCACTGCTGGAAAGGATCGGTAGTGTGCAATGAAGCCTTCTTAGCCTGTCTGAAACCTGGAAGAACGCTTCAGTAGTGTTTGCTGTCGGGGTGTCGGGCCTTATGCAGAAACCAAAAGAAAGTTCTCTGTTAACTGTATGTAATTCTGCACTGGGAATTAGAAAAATAAAAATTGAAACTGAAAATCAAAGCGAATTTAGGAAATTTATTTAGGAACTTCATCTGGTGAAAAGATTTCCAAACAGCTGCTTTGTGAAAATGATTGTTAAACCTGTAACTGCAGCAGCTGTAAAGCAATAACACAACTCAATCAATGAAAGTTTTCAGTAGTGCTCTTTATCACTTCATTAACCTTGTAATTAAGTAATGATAAGCAAAGCAAGATAATTTAAAAAAAAGGGGGGGGGGAATGAACAAATTCAGCCATTGGTTTTATTAGTAAGTGTCAGTAGCTTCTCTGGAATCTAATCAATATGGAGCAAAAGTGTAAACCAATTGCTGCCAGCACTCCAAGGTGTAACCTGTGCGGAGCAGCTGGGGTTTCCCCTCTGAATTTGGTTTCTCTGAGCATGGCTGTACTGACCTTCGTTTTTCGTGTAAAGCTATGTAGGAAATGCTGTGCATACGAATGAATGGGAATATTACTTCTAACCACAGAGGATTAAACATCTTGGTCCCATCCAGCTTCCTTTAGAGCCAAGGAGCGATGCTGAGCTCTCGGAGCTTTGTAGCATTTCTCTACTTCAAAATTCTCTACTCTTAAATTCTAATACGTGATGTCATTTTGGATGTATTTAAGAACTGCGTTTCCTTCTGGTTTACATTGATGGATTCAGCCTGGGTGCAGTTCTGAAATGTTGGATACTGCTGGGAAATGGTTGGTTTATTGCGTTCCAAAAACTTTTTCCTGAGGGTTTTAGAAGAAAATAACAATTCATGGCAACATGAATGAATGTTCCAAAATACCGGCTACTAGAATTAATGGTTAAACATTCCTATATTAAAGCTGTTAACAAATGTATGTGATAAAATTATTCTGCTTCCTTATGTGAAAAAGAATCTTCCAGTTATAGGCACATCAAGAAGAATTAAAATGATTTTTCTTATTTAAAAAATGTCATATTTTCAAATTAAGCTTCCGTTTCACCTGCGAGCATTGGGATCAGTCATGGCACAGCCTTGCTTTGTAAAGCATATGGGAAGGGGTTGAACACCAGCAACTTCATGCAGCTCAAACTTTACAAACCACAGCTGTGGTGTTTGTAAATCTCCAGGGACTTCGGCATTCTTGCGGGGATCCTTTGAAGAGCGTGAGATCTTTTAAACCCCACGAATGGGACGGCAGGAATTGGTTGCAGGGCAGACCCTCATGCTGGAGGCTGTTCTGCCACCGCTCCTGGCCTGCCTGTGCACGTAGCACTCAAGTGGAACTGTAGTGCCATCAGAAGTCAAATACATTTTTGAATTATCGCAAAAGTGATGCTTAATACATTTTTACATTGTTAGGGACCAGAACTTTGCTGAACAAGTGCTGGTTTTCATTCCTTTCGCGTTTCTGAAGTACCCTTCCTTACCGAGTGAAGCGCCAGAGAAGGAAAAAGAAAATCCATCCCTCTCCTTGCCTGCCTAAAGAGGCAATCGTACCGTCCTAAAAATAACCAAGGAAACCGAAACAGAAGTCTTGGTGAAATTCAGGCCCTCCCTCGGTGGGAGTTTTGCCATGAATTTCAATGAGTTCAGGACTTCGATGCGTTGGCCAAGCGCTGAGGTTGAGTTGTTCCCGGGCGGTTGTGCCAGCTGCCCCTTGTTCTGTTTCCCAGAATAACCACTTCGATAAGGTATTTATCGCTTACAAATATGGAACGGGTCCTGTAGTGAGCACTTCACGTTACAGAGGAGCTGTCATTTAAAAACACGCAGCAAATGCTTCCCTGAAACTTTTTGCGGGGGTTATTTTTAGTTGTTTGTTTAAGATTGACGATGACCCTCTAAGAAAAAGGCCAATTTAAACATGCCGCTAGGGAGCAAGCGCAATCTTTGAAGTAATGAATGTCCGGTGATTCTTATTTACCGTCGAACTACTAACATTATAACTGGTAGGTGCATATGATCAATTCGTTTTTAACAAAATGAAATTTCTAGAAGATAATTCAGCCGTGGAAGAGATTGGGTTATGCTTGCTTAAGTCCAAGTAGAGCTGAATGTATCCTCAAGCTGAACTTGTCCCATGGCCATGAGGCCAACGAAGGGAATATCACAGCACCCCTTGAGGCTAGAGCAGAGGTGATTTCCCTTTTGGAAAAAAAAGGCTGAATGTCTCGATTAATTTGCTTTGGGAAAACCTATTCAAGCTGAAATTTATGTGGACCCTTAACGTGCTTTGCAAGATCGGGACTTTAGCATAGACTTTGCTGTTGAGGCTTATTCTTTTCTAAGCGTAATTCTTTTTACAGCGGTTTGCTCTCTATAAATGATGGAGAGCTGCTTCTGTCCCATTCCCTTCCATCTGCTCCCTCCCCAATTACTGTTTTGCAGCCAAAATTGTGAGGCACGATGTGCGATGACGATGAAACCACTGCCCTTGTATGTGACAATGGTTCGGGGCTTTGCAAAGCTGGGTTTGCAGGAGATGATGCCCCAAGAGCTGTATTCCCATCCATCGTTGGACGGCCCCGACATCAGGTCAGTTAGTTCTAAAATGGAAGCGCGCTCTGGTTTGGGGGGTGGTTTTGGGCTTGTTTTGGGTTTTTGTGGGTTTTTTGAGACTTTAGGTGTGGCGGTGATAAAGCGTCAGATTTATTCAGGCAAAACTCCCATCGGCCTTTGTAGTTTAGCTTGTTAAGAACTGGAGGATTGAGCTGCACATCTTTAATGCTATGAGGTAAACTTATTGATCCTTTGGAAAAGGTGTTCTTCAGCCATAAAATGTTGACTATAAAAGAACTTGAGCGTTTTAATGAGATGAAGGTGTCTTATGGGGGGAAAAAAAAACACCCAAACCCAATACTGCTGGATTAAGTAATACTTGCTGTATTAATACAAAGAAAAAAGATAGGCAGAACAGTTCTAGCATGAAAAACAATAATAGTGATAAGTTCCTCTTTTTGTTCCATTAAGCAACAGTATAGCCCAATAAACTTCCAAAAAAGGTCTCTAGCGCATCACCATATCAACTCAAACAGGACTGGAAAGGATAAATGTGACTTTTCTTGACCTTGGAAGGGGTCTTCCTGCTTCATTAATTTCCTAACAGTTTCTTTATAAATAGAAGGTGCAGATTGTTGGTCATTTTATTCATATCTGAGTCAGATTTTAATTTTCTGGGCTGTAAAACCCCTTTTCTGAAGTTCTGTGTGTCCTTTTGCTGAGCTAAATAAGCCTGGCTTGACAGGTGTAAAAATATTAAGCATTTTAAGGAACGCGTTTTGGACACCTCTGTGAGTTGTTGAAGTTGAATATCAGTGGTTGAAAACATGCCCATTCTTTAACCTCTCAAATTGTTCATTGGCTTTTATTAGTGATTAGAGCTGGCATGTAATTTTGCACAGTTTAGCAGCTCAGCAGCTGTATTATTGAATCCATGGAATTAAAACGTATCCATGAGAAAAAAAAACATTTTTATGCTAGCTGATGAATAATATTGTACCTTGTATGTTTTTATATTACTTGGGGCAATCATGATAGGCTTCCTAATGCAAACATGATAAACTTAGTAAAACTATTATTTAATAAGTGAGCTTTCTTTTAGAAAATCTGCCTCTGTTTTATATAAATTAAGGCTTTTTGGCAAAATGTCTATTTTTCAAACCATTTTACTTCCAGCGGGGGGGGAGAATCTCACTTTTTAAAGGCAATAGTGGAACTGCCTAGACAGAAAGGGCAACCACATACATAAAGTAAATCTAGGGAGATTCAATCTTTTTCACCTATAATTCCTTCCCTTTACTCCTTTGTGCAACCACGAAGGATCCATCCCTTGTGGAGAGCCAGGAGGTTGCTGATGCCTGCCTGGGCTGGGCTCCGGCATGGGCATTAGCACCAAGCATGAGATGCCTTCCTTCCTTCCTTGCTTTTTGAGGCTGCCTTGCTCTTCCTGGTGGGTTGACAGGGGGAGTTAGTACAGAGTAGGTGGTTACCGATAAATTCACATTTTAGTTCCTTGCACGTTTTGGGGGTGCTTTCTGGAACGGCAGTAGCAGTAGCGGACTTAAAAATTATATTCTCTCTCTAGTATGCATGATCTACTGCACTAATATTAGAATAATACACTTTGCAGGGTGTTATGGTCGGAATGGGTCAAAAAGACAGCTATGTAGGGGATGAAGCACAAAGTAAAAGAGGGATCCTGACACTGAAGTATCCCATTGAGCATGGAATCATCACTAACTGGGATGACATGGAAAAGGTAGGTGTTTATTTTTAATGTAATTTTGTTTAGACATCATCTCATCCAAGATGTACAATTTGCCATTACCTTCTTGCAAACCAAAGGGAAAATCGTTGAAGAATTTGTAATTGCAGTACAGGTAAAGGGTATTACAGTACAGTATGCTAGTACAGGAGTTAATCGGATCTTGGCACTTCTGGAGTGACTGTTCTTTGAAAAAGTAAATGCTTATTACTCAGTGGATTTGGCAGTATGTTATAAAAGTATTTTATGCTTTGTACGTACTGGTTTTGGTCTTGAAGTTCATACAGAGTTAGAACATTTGACAATGATAGAAAGTAGCTAAAGTAGACAAAAAACAAATACAGGTTGCGATTCATCAGAGGTGACTCGGAGAAATATTAAAGATACACTGCTTAAGCTGGGAGCAAAAACTGTAAAGTGGAGGGATGATTTTCCCTCCTCAGTACTTGCCTACATGAACAAGACGATGGGTGATGCCCACATCTTGTATTGCATATGACATTCTCGCTGTCAATTAAAGAGGAAGAGACAGATTGGGGCTTCCTATCCCTATGCTAATTCTTAGAGAGTGCTTTTTTTTTTTTTCTTTTTCTTTTTTTTTTCTGAAGCATGTTTTTCTCGCCAATTCCAGTTAGCTTTTAATGTCTGGATGGTGAGAAGGTGTCTTATTCCCTGTGAAGCCTGACTTTCTTGGCATGTGGTCAGTGCAACGACCTCTTTGTGAAATGCCCGCTTAAGGACGTCCCAGAGCAGGCTCAGGCGATGAGGTGTGCTCATGGGAGAAGCTGGAGAGGCAGGAGGAGTCCGAAGGGCGCTCTCATTCTGCTAAATATCTCTGATATCCCCTATGTCCTGGTGTCTTGAGGAAGCATCTGAGTCTGTATGTGGAAATATTGTATGTCTGCTTTAAAGACAGGATTGCAATTCAGTCCCTTGTCATCTCCAGGTGGAATGGTATGGGAAGGAAACTCCACAAACGAATGCTTCTAGGAATGTCTTCCTGTGGAAAATACCACCGAAAGGAAGACACGGGCCGGTGGTGTTCTGTACTCACACTCGCTGAGGCGAGGTGTATACGACTCTAATACGTATCTCTAAAGTCAGTTCTTGTGTCGTATTTGTGAACCTGAATTGATAAGCACAGAGCGTTCCAGATGAACAGACCAAAGTCAATACAGGAACGGTGGGAGTTCCTCAGCTCATATCTGGAAATAAATTGCCCACCCGCTCCTCTAGATGGAAGCATAGTATTTGCATTTCGTTACTGCACTGCTTGCTGGGAGGACACCTTGCTTGTTTCTGCAGAGTAGAAAGTCTACCTCGTACAACCCGTTATGGTGTTCTGCCTGATAATTTTCCTGCTGTCTGCATTCAGCGAGAAATTCTATTTCCCTGTAGGGGATAAAAAAAAAATTAAAATAAAATTGGAGGTCACTATGTTCTTCCCTCAGCAATTGGTCTCTGCATGTGGAAATTGCCCCGTGTATAACACATACTGGTATGTGTTCTTTTTCTGGGTGATGCTGGATGCTAGAGCAGACTGTCTAAAATCTAGTTAGGAAAAGGAATTAGAGAAGGTAGAAAGGGTGGCACGTGCTTTACTGTAGTGTAAACTCATGGCTAGATTGATTGCTTTTAGGGTGTAATGTGGTGGAGGCTTCAGGCAGTGCTGTAATTCAAATAATGGTCAGATAGCATATGGGTTCTTGTAGTTTAAGCTTTTCCTTCTCTTTGTCACTGTCGTGGTTTAGCCCCAGCCCCAGCTCAGCACCACGCAGCCGCTCGCTCACTCCCCCTACCCCGATGGGATGGGGGAGAGAATCGGAGGAGGAAGAGTGAGAAACACTCCTGGGGTGAGATAAGAACAGTTTAATAATTGAAATAAAGTAAAATAGTAATGCTAATAGTAACAGTATAATAATGATAATAATAATAATGATATCCAAAGCAAGTGATGCCCAATGCAATTGCTCACCACCCGCCGACCGATGCCCAGCCAGTTCCCGAGCAGCGATCGCTGCTCCCCGGCCAACCCCCCCAGTTTCTATACTGAGCATGATGCCGTATGGTATGGAATAGCCCTTGGGGCAGTTTGGATCAACTATTCTGGCTGTGCCCCCTCCCAGTTTCTTGTGCCCCTGGCAGAGCATGGGAAGCTGAAAAGTCCTTGACTGGCATAAGCAGTACTTGGCAACAACTAAAAACATCAGCGTGTTATCAACATTCTTCTCCTACTAAATCCAAACCACAGCACTGTGCCTGCTACTAGGAAGAAAATGAACTCTATCCCAGCCGAAACCAGGGCAGTCACTTAAACGGATGAAGGAATTACTTTTGAAAGTGGGTCCCTAGCCCAAACTTACCTTCTTCTGACAGACTGCTTGCAACATGCAGTAGCTGGCAAAGGTGCCCCACCACTGAGCTGTGCTTGGACTTCTTGCTGAGGCCAGGAGCAGAGCGGGGCAGAAAGCGGGGGCTGCTTTCAAGTGAACGAGCAATGGGCAAGACGCACGAGAGAAAGGCAGTGGGAGGGAAGAGACAAGAAACAGCGCTGCTAACGTTTGTGATTATTGCAAATAAAAAAAAAAGGTTTTTTTCTTTTTTTTTTAATATACGGGCTTCTCTGATTCAACTGTATGTCTCAACTTCCCCTGAAGCTCTGTAACATGCACATGCGTGCACACATGTACGCACATGTGCACACGCTCTTATGGCTGCGAGAAGTTCTGAAATGCAATTCCTAAAGTTTTAATGCTAAGGGAATATCTTTCTGAATGCATATTCCCCCCCCACCCCCCACCTTGAGATTTTTAAACCAGTTGCATGATTTTGATCCGAACCACAAATTTCTTTCCAATGCTTGGAAATCATACTACTAAAAGTATCATTATATGGAAGAAACAAGAGAATTACTGGGTAGTGTGCCAGAAATGGGCCAAAGGCATAACAGTGCAGTGCCCACCCATCCACACAGTACAAAAAGAGGGGGGCCACCAAAAGATTAGGCTGAGCGTGCATGTGTACGAGAGAAAGCGAGAGCGAGGATGCTGCAGGATGCTCAGACATTCGTGTGAATGGAGGAGGAGACCGTGTAGGCGATGAAATGAAGCATTCTTCTTCTCCTGTGCTTCAATTCACAATATTCAAATTGGGACTGCTCTGTTTTCCGCTGGATAATAATACAGGGCATTGTGCATCACTGTTAATTTGTTCACAGCGACTGAGCTGACAGCATATGGGAGGGAAAGCGTTGGGATGGAGCCTTTTCTGGCTCTGGTGACTATGTAAATGTTTAATATAAGTGTTGGAATAATTCTTCCTCAGTAATTTCTCTTTGCTGTCGTGCTTGCTGCTTACATTTAATTCTCGTGACCTATAAAATCCAACACTGAACTATTTTTGTTTCTTGTCGAATATCATTATCCATTAACATTATGGTTATCGGTAGGTCAAATCTAACGGGCTGTGCAGTGCCTAATCGTGCCTGGTTTTGAGGAAAACACCTGCAAACTGCCCGAGGTTTAGGCAGGGTCCTGATTTATGAGTCCAGGTTTGTTCCTCACTGCTGAAATGGCCACTACTTTGTCAATTATGCAAGCACTCGGGTTTCCTTCTCTTCCTTAGCTCTTTCCTGTCCGAAGTGGCAGTCTCTTTCTTCTTATATCTGATTTTTTTTAAAAAAAAAAAAACTTTACCTGATTACTTTCTGTTTTGTTCAACTTCTCCCTGTGTTTGTATTCTAAACCTTCAAATGGAAGATGGCCAAGCATCCCAAGCCCCAGTTCAGAAACATCTGATAATTTTTTTTAGGGGACTGAGATGGAATGAAATTTTTTTTTTTTTTTTTTTTTAAGGGCTGATAATTTTCTTAATGAATAATTCCAGCTCTGGACAGCTGTTGACTTTGTAGGTGCTTCAAATTTAGAGAAGATCTTTTTTCCACTTAAGTTCATTTTGGAGCATAATAATACTTGTTTCTAGGATATTAATCAAATAAACTTACCCATAAAACTATCCTGATATTTTGTGCTCAGAAATAAGCTTGTTGGGTCAGGCAAAGCTGAGCTAAAGGGAGGAAAAAAAAGAAATAAGGGTAGGAAAGAATTAAATGAGAAGATAAGAAGTATTTCGTCGTGTTACTGAACAGTCGGTCTTCGAGCTGGTGTCAAGAAAAAAAAAGTCCTTTCAGTTCCTCACAGCCATAGTCCTCGGACAATCAAAGCCAGCATCGTTTGATACAGGTAGCACCTTCCAACACAAAAAAATACTTTACAGTAGTTTTCATGCCAACATGAAAAAGTACTTTGCAGATTGTGACTAAGAAATTTAGTTACTCTATAGTGAGAGTTTGATTCAAGAGGAGGCTGAGGGGAGACCTTATCGCTCTCTACAACTACCTGAAAGGAGGGTGTAGCAAAGTGGGTGTTGGTCTCTTCTCCCACGTAGTTAGCAATAGGACAAGAGGGAACGGGCTCAAGCTGCGTCAGGGGAGGTTTAGATTGGATATTAGGAAAAATTTCGTCACGGAAAAGGTAGTCAAGCATTGGAAGAGGCTGCCCAGAGAGGTGGGGAGTCCTCATCCCTGGAAGTGTTCAAAAAAACGGGCAGACGTGGCACTTTGGGACATGGATTAGTGGGCATGGTGGTGTTGGGTTGATGGTTGGAGTGAGGATCTTAGAGGTCTTTTCCAACCTTAATGATTCCAAGTTTTTACTTCCATTATAAATAATCCAGCCGCCAAGCCAGGAAACATGAAATTGCTACTCTCTCCTTAATTGGTTTAGTGTGGACTTGGTAATGTAGGTTAATGGTTGGACTGGATGATCTTAAAGGTCTTTTCCAACCTAAATGATTCTATGACTCTATGAAATATCTGTGGCATAAAGGGCCTTTCGCTTCTTTGGAAATAATTAGATTTCTAAAAAGCATCTTGGCAATGACTTGCATGACTTGCAACTGGATCAGTCTCAAGCAGCTTGGAATGGAGAAGTCTTTCCAGGTTCGAACACCTCAGTGCTTCACTCAGCTTCTGTATCGGAGCACTGGGGGTGGGAACTAACAGTGCCCCTGCTTAGAGAGGATGATCCGTGCTCTGTTTAGGGAATCCAAACTGGAAGGACTCCATTGTGTAGCTTTATTCTGTGGTTACATACAGTAGAAACCCAGTGGTTTTGTTTCTAATTTGGAGTTGAATTGGGCAGATTCGCTCTTGCATGCTTTCTGTCTATTTTAATATGTCTGTAAAAAAACCTAATCACTTGGACTGTATTTGACAAGCTTTCTGTGTAGTTCTGTGGACAGGAGAAATGATTTTCAGAACACTTTTCTAAAGTGATTTTCATTTTTAGATTTGGCATCATTCTTTCTATAACGAGCTCCGGGTTGCCCCAGAGGAACACCCCGTCCTGCTGACCGAGGCCCCTTTGAATCCCAAGGCCAACCGCGAGAAAATGACTCAGGTAATCGTCTGAATGTTGTGCTGCAGGTCTTTTCTGCACAGAAGCAGCTAAAAATATAAGTAATCCTGGGTATTCAGCTTTCTTCTTAATCTGGGAGAGAATCCTTTGTGGGTTAGTGTGGGTTAGCACGCTGGCTAAGTCATGGGCAGGGAGCAAGAGTTTCTGCTGCTCACGCAAGTTCTCTGGATGGCCCTAAAATGTTTCGTGCTTGTGTGTGGCAGTGAGATGTATGGAACTAGCATCTTAAAAGCTTGAAGTAATTTTCTTTGTTCACGAGACTGTGTGTGTGATCAGTTCTTGAAGTGGGGAAGCTGGTGGCCAAGGTGGCTCCTGATGCTGAGTTTCGGTGTGTAGGTAATGTTAACCCAGGATTCGTGTAATTTTTTGGATGGAGTTACGAGTCACTGACGTATTTAAATCTGAGGTTTGCAAGCGCTGTAACGTGGGTCGTGTACCAGCTGAATCACACTTCTGTGTGAGTTTTGGATCAATGACATCTTTCATGTGCCTGCCTCTGGCCACCACGAGTGCTCAACTTGTAGTAGCCCAACTCCTCAGCTCATGCTGTATCAGCTCCTGCTTTCTACCCTGAAGACTGTCGCTTTATCAACACTTTTGCATCAGACAAAATGCTAGTTACCGTATCAGAATAGCTTTTTTTTTTTTTTTTTGAGGGGGGGAGATTTGAATAAAGATATTTGAAAGCCATCATGCAGATGACTTCGTGGAGCTCCCAGCTAGAGCACCTCTTCAGGGATCAAGGAAAAACTGTTCAAAAACTGCAATGTTTGTGCTGGCTTGGGAAAATGAGTTGTCTGAAGCATTCAAACTTAAAGGATGCTTTGCGAAATGTTTCGGCCTGTGACATACCCAGTCTGATTTAGGAAACTCAGATCAGAACCAAAAGCTGACCTCTGAAGTTTGTGTATTTTGGAGCAGCCTTCTGGCCAAAAGTCCATGTTATAAATTTAGCCAGTGATGTAACCGGAAGTGTGATTTAAATACAGATATAGGTATAAAATCACCTGGGAAAATTAGATGTGGCTCTGCACTTCCCTTTGTGCCCACTTTTGGCATATATTTAATAGGAAGATTATGCATTAATTTAGCAACAGTGTAAATAAACTAATTAAGTAGTGAGCTTGACAGCACGCATTGCTGGGAGATAATACATCTGGGAGATAATAAACAACAACAGACCATGAGAAAAGCCGAGTTTATAACAACCAGGAGGAGCAGTTCATACAGTAGACATGTCTAGGACTGTTTCTCTGTCATTATACTGTAATGATAAATCCTGTTTTCAAGATTGTTTAAAGGCGTATTGTTTATTACTGATTGCATTAAATTCATTACATTAATTAACTATGAAATATCGGTAATTTGTGTATTCTTTAATTGGAAGCATACTTTTCATTAAAAGTAGACTTCATTGGCAAAGGTGTAAGCTTATGAAATCCAAAGTTTAAGCTTAACCCCCTGATGTCAGTGGCTCTGACGGGTACAGTGGTGATGGTTGAGTCCCCATCCCTGGAGGTATTTAAAAGATGTGTAGACGTGGCGCTTAGGGACACGGTTGAGCGGTGGACTTGGCAGTGCTAGGTTTATGGTTGGACTTCATGATCTTAAGGGTCTTTTCCAACCTAAATGATTTTATGGTTCTATGAAAGGTGGTCGCAGCGGCAGTAGTGATGGGGTAGCACTGCCTAGGGTGGGTGGCGTTGGTTTAAGAAAGGATACAGGTCATAGGGTTGTCCAGAGCGTGTTAGTTCACCGGGAGCCCTTAACGGTTTTCCTTAGCAGAGCTCCAGTGGAATTCCAGCTGGAAACAAATGTTATTCCATCTGCTCGGATAAAATTGCAGGGAATCTGACGCAGGAGATGGAAAGAGCTGGAGCTTGTTAGAGTAGAGGAGGTAGGGGATGAGGCAAGAGAATGTGGCGAAGGTCGCCATAAAGAGAAAAGATGAACGGCTGTGTTTGCTGGGGGGCAGAATGAGACGCAATGGGTTTAAACTAGCCCAAGTGAGGGGTTAGCTAGACACCAAGAAAACCCTGATAACAGCCAGTATGGTGTATCACTGGGTTTGTTTGCTGGAGGAATCTGTGGGTGCTCCAGCAGAGGAGTTCCTGAGACAGAACCAAAGCTGTGTTAGGAATGGCTGATTCTTCCTTGAGATGGGATGAGACAGGTTATTCTTTGTGGCTTCTTCCAGCTGTGTCTACTATACATTTTTTAGAGCGCATGCACACACGCGCTCTCTCTCTCTCATTAAATATATATATAACCCCCCCACCTTAGATTGCTGCATTGTTGCAGTCCTGCCATCAGGGTAAAAAAGTTATTCCAAGGTGTCATCTTCAATTAATATTATCAGTAAAAATCTGACCTAGTCTGAGGTTAATGGAAAGATATCCACTGACTTCAGTGATTTTTTTTTTTTTTTTTTTTTTAAAGTGAAATACTAAAGAAAACATAGTGTGCTGTTCACAGAAGAACCATGTTTCAGGAGGGGACTCGGGAGTAGTAACTGGCAGTATTCATTAAAAAAAAAGCCATTTACTGTCTCTTCAGATGCTCATAAGTGTAGATCCTAAAGGTTTTCAAATTCTTCATTCTAGATTATGTTTGAGACGTTCAACGTGCCAGCCATGTATGTAGCAATTCAGGCAGTGCTGTCTCTGTACGCATCTGGAAGAACGACTGGTGAGTCTTGCTGGGAGTTGTATTTTCCACCTGCCCTTCTCCTGCGGATGTATATGCACGTAGGCGCACACAGGGATGTATGTTGATTATGATGCACCAGCTGTGTGTTAAGAAGAACTGAGAGCCATATGGAAGCAGAGTAGTTCCCACCGTGCTGTGCAAGTACCACTGTTGTTTTCAACTTCGCGGCAGGTATGGGCGTACGCTTATGACTTTCTGCTTCAAAAGCTCAAGTGACTATGGCTCACCTCTATGGACAGATGAACGCTGATACAGTTTGATACTGCCCTTAATTGCACAGCATAGAGAAGAGGCTGTTTCTTAACTAGATTGTTCCAAACCCATGGTTCCTTCTTACTTTAGACCTACCTCTATTGTTAAGCTCCATTCCCAGTAGAAAAAAAAACCAAACCAAACCAAAACATGCAGTAGCTAAATGAAAATATTTCATTTAAATGTTGAATTTCAATCATCTAATGATGTCTGCTGTTAAGCGATCATTAGAATTAGCATGGAGGTCTCTTCTTACTGCCATTTAGAGTCTGATCAAGCATTGAGATGACAAATTACTTCTCAGCAACACTTGAGTCTTCATATACTTCGAAAAAAATTTAAATACCATCTGTCTTTCGTAGCCTGATGCCACTATAAAACTTTGTATAAAAAGATCACCAGCTTACAGGAATTACAATTGTCATAAATACTTGTTTTATGTTTAAAATTCAACTATTTGTGTGTGTGTTTGGTATCAGAAATGCTCTATTCATTTTGAGTGGAAAACATGTACTTTATTTCCTATCCAAGAATATAAGTAACATGGCTGTGCACAGATAAACTGTTGTTATATTTTCCTTAATGGGGTGGTTTATTTTAATGGCAGATTCAAATTTCTAATTTTTTAGATTTTTTTAAAAATTTATTTACAATTTGTACATTATATCATGTCTGTAAAGTGCGGGGGGTTGTCTGAAATGAAAGCCTCTGCATCCATGTAAAATCATTATTGGTAGTGTCCATTTGGCAAGAACAATACAACCAAATTGCTGAACGTTACATGTCTCTTTTCCCCCAAATGCAGTTGCTGCTTAGTCTGTGCTAACGATTCCATCTCGTGTGAGCAGCTCTTTAGTTATAGAAATGACAGAAGCAATTGCCATGTGAGCATCTTCATTTGTTGTTGCGTGTTTCAGTTGAGAATATGGAGTATGTGGAGACCCTGTATCAGTGGGAAATAACCAGCTTCTCCTTTTCTTTCACTTTCCAGGAATAGTTTTGGATTCTGGGGATGGTGTCACACACAACGTGCCTATCTATGAGGGCTATGCCTTGCCTCATGCCATCATGAGACTCGATCTGGCAGGCAGAGACCTGACTGACTATCTCATGAAAATTCTTACGGAGAGAGGCTACTCTTTTGTCACCACTGGTAATGAGCTGTGCTTTGGATGCACCCTGCATGCGTTTTCTCTGTCAGTTGTCTTATTATGCAGGAAGTGTGTACCTGGTGAGGTGCATCAAACCATCACTAGGCTGGCCTGGGAAAAACAGTTCATGGTAGCTAATGGGGTTCTCCTGACTTTGGCTTTCAGCATGTATGTTGAGCATCAAGGACGAGGATGCCACCTCATTAGGAAATGCTAAGTCACTGACAAATATAACTGTTGTGTTTGATCATACCTCTTCCACAGACAAAGGAACAAAGCCAGTAGCTGGTAATGGATGAACCTCTGGAGATTTGGTCAAGGTTTTGGGACATAAACATGTAAACATTAATCTTTACAGTATTCTGTAGTACAATATATCTTTTATTTGCCGATGAGGGAAATTTGGCAATGCAAAGAGAAAGTAATGTTGTTGAGACAACAGAGAAGTCAGAACCCAATGAACTGTATGACTGTCATGAACTCGGGGAGACGTGCATGAGAAAATCCGTGTCCTGGCTGTCATACTGTGTGTTGATTAAAAACTTGTTGGCTGTCTGCAGCGGAACGGGAGATTGTGAGAGACATCAAGGAGAAGCTTTGTTATGTGGCTTTGGATTTTGAAAATGAAATGGCAACTGCTGCTTCTTCCTCCTCTCTTGAAAAGAGCTATGAGCTTCCTGATGGACAAGTCATCACCATTGGGAATGAACGCTTCCGATGCCCAGAAACTCTCTTCCAGCCATCCTTCATAGGTGGGACAGGACTTTTCTTTCTAGGGGCTTGACAGAGAATGAAAAGAAGAATTTCTTAGGAAGTGTAGACAACCTTCAGCTGTAGGAACTGAGGTATTTATCCTCAAACGTCCTTAGAAACATGCAGGTTCTATTGACTTAATCAGTTCTTCAGAAGCTATGAACACTGCTGCTACAGCTGCTGGGCAAAAAGATGCCTGTCAGTTTAGAAGTACCTGAATTCTAAGATGGTTTAAACCTCTTATAAATGCAGTAGAGTTTCTAAGATGATGTTTCAGAGTACTGTCAGAAGATCATGCTTTTTATCTTGACTGGCTGATATAGAACCACACAGGGCTGTTTATGTGGGGTTTTTATCTAGATGCTGCTTCCATTTATCATTTTATTATATTAATCTGTAATTTAATCATACAAAATCAAATCGTACATTATTTTTCAGTAGTTTTATCTGTAGTGTTAAAATTCCCATTCTATCCAGTGGATGCCTGACACTTTATGTGGTTAACTTGTACTGTCCTCACAAATTTCCTAATTTCCACTCAAATTCCACTCTTGAGGACAGAGCAAAATGGCTGCAGGCAGTTTGGCATGATTTCCATTAAACTAAATAGTGAAGCTGGCTATGTTTGTATGTAGAAAGGAAACTATTCAAGTATTAATACAGCTCCAAGTTCTGTATTTGCACATCAGTAGGAGTGATGTTCAAATATGCTGTATTTCAACATTAGCAGGAGAAATTCTTTTTAGTAGGTAGAGGGATTTGGCTGCCAGGAACGTATCAGGGGTCAGAGTTTGGTGCTCAACAATGGTCAGCGTCAGAAACATAGCGATGGAAGTCAGTGTTTCCTGGATCACAGATCTTTGTCAAAATGTGTGTGTTAAGCTAGTTAAAAAGTCCAGTACTTAAAATTCAAACTGTATTCCCAGGATTGTATCTGGCCTGTTCCTTTTCTTTAGCAAAAAATAGTACCATAGGTTAACTTCACTGTACTGGCATTCAGTAGCAAGGTAGCTCCCTGAAATGCCAAGTGGGCTTCTATTTCTAGCTAATGGCATCATAAAAAATTATAAAAATGGCAAACTATTGCAGTAATGCCTCATTTAAAATTTTTCCTTAAATAATGTTAATTTTTTTTTTTTTAACTTGAGTAAGTAAAAAAACCCAGTATGAAATCATAATGGGGATCTTCCTTCCTCCGAAGTGTATTTTGCTTGTATAATTACTATGCTGAGATTACAAAGAAGGTGAGAAGTATGTCTTGTTTTTCTCCTTCCTTTCCTAAGCATCATATAGCTTTTTTTTTTTTCTGGAGTTTTCTTAAGGGAGATGGCTTGGACTAGTGAGCCTTCCTTTCATTTTAACAGTAAGAAAAAGCAGGGGACAAAGAGAAATAACATGTTGAAACTTCTTTGCACTCAGGGATGGAATCTGCAGGTATCCACGAAACGACTTACAACAGTATTATGAAATGCGATATCGACATCCGTAAGGATCTCTATGCTAATAACGTCCTCTCTGGAGGAACCACGATGTATCCTGGGATTGGCGATCGTATGCAGAAAGAGATTACAGCTTTGGCTCCAAGTACTATGAAGATTAAGGTAATTTTGAACACCTGCACTTACAAAAGAAGCTTCTGTTGGAAAGTTAGATCTCGCAAACAAATCAAAAATATCTGTAAAAGAACATCCAGGTCTTGCACCCCAAGTCCTGATGTTAGGAGAGCCTTGGACAGCCTGCTTAATTTATACCTCTTTTCCTCCTACCAGCCAAAGCAGAATTAAAAGAGGGATTTGAGAGGTACTGGAATAAAAATGGTTGCTGAAGCCATGGAACTTGATGAGGTCATTTTGAGAAAATGCGAAACAACAGTTAAGGAAGAGAGTCCTGTGGGATTCCCAGTGAAATAGGGCTATGAGGGAGAAAAGGGCTACTTGAAGAAACCCACAGAACAAGAAGAGAGGTAGGGATGAACCTGGAGAAGATGGAGCTGTAAATACTAAAGGGGGCATGAACAACTTGAGAAGATACTGGGAATACTGTAGGCTTCAAGGCTTAGCTAGCAGTGACAGTCAGTAGTGAAAAGGGTGAAAGAATAAATCCAAAATCCAAGCAGCATGCAAAGTCTGCAGCTTGTTGGCTATTTGAAAGGACCCTTTTGGCTTGGACTCAAGACAACGTACAGTGAAACAGAGAGGCCCCTTTTATCAGGCAGCAGATGGCATGCGGAACGGGCAGGACATGGGGTGGCAGGAATGGAGGCAGGAGCACGCAGAAGCAGGGGTACATCCAGTGTATTTTAACAATTCAGTGGCTAAGGGGGGAATCAGCAGCAGGTCTTCTAGCTCTACGTCTAGCACTTAGCTAGATACAATGCCAGTGTACCTTGGTGTTTTTTGGTTTGGGGTCTTTTTTTGTTGGGTTGGGTTTTTTTTTACGTAAAAGAATTCCTTTATACTTAAAAATGCTCAGACCATTCTGCGTAGTGTTGTCCCAGTGGTCTTTATTTACAACCAAATTAGGTCAATGCTTCAGAATTTTAATTTTCTTTCGTACATGTTTATAATTTTTTGGTAGCTGTGTTATGGGCCATCTGCAGATATCTCATGGGCTGCCATATTTGTCTGCTCATAGTGACATTATAGCATCTCTATCGACTTGAGGTGGAAGACAAAATATGGCAGCCTTGCTACCTTTTAGGTGCTTTACTTCATTGGAGTCGTGCTTCTGTGATGAAAAGACTTTCACGTAGTTATTTCATCCAAAGAGATGTGTACTGTGTTATCTGCTTGTCGCTTTATTTACAACAGATTGCCCTTCTCTCCTAGATGATTGCACCACCAGAACGTAAATACTCTGTCTGGATTGGGGGTTCAATATTGGCATCTCTGTCCACTTTTCAGCAAATGTGGATCAGTAAAGATGAATATGAGGAAGCTGGTCCCTCTATTGTCCATCGCAAGTGCTTTTGAATACTTCCGTCATGTACGCTGTGTTAAGTAGTGCTGTTTCTCTACACACCACCTGCCCTCACTCACCTCTTGAGGGTGGTTTGGCTTTCTTCCACATGTTAAAAAACCCACGCTGTATGGATGTCATACGAATTAGCAAATTACTTCTAATTTTTGATGATAAAATGAGACTAATATTTCAGTGATGTGTGTTTTCCAAGATTAATAACAGTAGTTATACTATACATTTTTATAGACCTCCCTTCCCCCCGTTTTTAACTGTTGTACTGCCATCCAGGAGGTGACGCACGACGCTGCTGTGTGTTAGTCTCTGCTAATCGATGGTAAGTCTGACATGCACATAAGCGATTCTTTCAAACTCAAACATAATGCAAGACTTAGGTACCAGAGAAGGCTTATTTTATGCAGTTAAGTGGTACACAGGGTTTATTTTACTGAGGATACAGTGGATTTATGTGGGTACTGGGGTGCACATGGGTACCAGTTCTTTTGGTAGAGCTTGTATGGATGTCTTTCCTTGGTACCCTGCAATTGTTTGGCAGGAGACCTTTGTCTCCCTGTGACCACCAGTCCCCATCAGTAAGGAGCTTCAACAAGCTACAGTACTTCTGAACTTAAACGTAATAGATTAATTTATTGGATGCATTATTGCTTGCTTCATCTCTCTTCCTAAGCAGCTAACTGATGTTTCATTTACTTTTGCTATATATGTGCTATGCTAAGTGAAGCTAATGATTACAGAGTAAATAATAACCTTCTGAATATGTTATTGAAATACTCTGGGTTTAATGGATCAATAAAAGTGTAATTATCCATGTAAGACTGCTGTGGCTTACATTAATTTCATAGTGACTAGTTTATCTGTTAAAGATAAAATAATAATTACTGATTTATATTTTAATTTTGTTATGAAAAAGGTTTCATTCCCTGAGTTTTCTAGATAAGCAATTTTTAACTGAAAACAGAATTGTTTCACAGTTTCTATTAAAAAAAACCCCAAAACTTCCTGGATGACAAATTTTCATAATGTTCTGTATGAAGATTAGGGTCAGCTATGAAGATTTTACTGTTTCAGGTACCAGGCGAGCGTGTTCTATATGACTCTGGATGCCATAGACTTTGGATTGATGTGACGTCAGGCTTGACGTCAATCCAACATCAAATCAAACCTGTCAAGTTCTTGCCAGTAAACACAATACCCTCTTTCCAAAGATGGGGAAAAGATATGAGTTGGATCTACGGACTTCTGAAAACGCATCTGGGGGTTGTTTTAAAGAATATTCTTACTACTGTGAGTTCCAACTCAAGGTGATCTCATTTCCTTATCCAGATGGTCTCATAATGGTAAAAGCTGGAAGACCTGTAAAGGAAGGATTCTTCAAAGGTCTGCTGTAGCTAGCACTACCTAATAAATAAGAGAGATGGGTCTTACCTTCATTCCCACTTTTGAAGAGCAGTCAGTTCAAATTGCCAGTATCCATGTCTTCTCAAGGAAATGTAAACCATTGCAAATTTTTCAGCCTCTGAATGAATTTTACTTTATTATCTTGGTCTCAGCTTATATGATTGCTCACTGCTTAAGTTGATAATAAATCCCCTTACATATAGGAATAGCACTGTCAACTGGCCTTACCAGCCGCCTAAGAAACATAACTTACATTTTAGTCTTGACCTCTTGTAGGTGTGATGTTCAAGAGCATAAACCTAGGTACTCAGATCTCTGGAGCTGAGGTACATTTGCAGTCCCCTGTAGTATCAAAGAGAAGTTCCATTTGGTTTGCTAATAATCTACTTGTCCTTGTTTCAATATTAAAACCAAAGGATCTGCTTTAGATTTTCAATTTCTTTTTAATATATCCTTTCAGTATATACTTACACCTTATTAATAAGGAGAAAAAAAATGTTTAAAAGTGTGTCTTTTTTTGTAAGTGGCAAGGGAGGTACATGTTTACAGCATTTGCATATACCTGAAAGAGTTCTTTGGGCTTTTCTTCTTTCCTCCCTTCCCCAGGTCTCCTTCTCTCATTCTCCACAACAAAATTCTCTTCAGTCCTTGGTTGGCATCTCTAGCCCCTGGCACAGCTGGGGCTCAGACGTGAGCTCTCAATGGTTAGAATATGAATCTTCATCCCACAGCTGACTCCTTTTTCAGTGTGGAAAAGCGTGATTATGCTCTGAATACCTCCCTAACAATCTGCATGTGGAATCTTATTCAAAATTAACACGCATTTTGAAAATAGAATTAATTATGTGCTAAGAGCAAATACAGATAAAAATAAGTAAAACTATTAAGCTGTTTGTGTGATTTGGCAAACCTCTGCTTCTCTGAGAGGAAATTGCCTTAGCCACCACGCAAGTCCTGCCTTTCTGTATGTGGCTGTACAGAACACTATAGCCATTGGAACCAAGAGGAGGGATCACCCATAGCCAAGAAAATAGTTCACAGTTTTTCCAGACACTCACCCGCTGTTCCCAACTACTCCTTGGTTGCCATTTCACTTTAAGGTTATCTTTACACCCTTGGACGTGTTAACGTTTATGCTCAGCCATACCTGTGCATACCTTACTCTGTAATCTGCTGTGGAAAACTAGCATGGCTGACAATAAGTATCCCAAATTTGAAAGAGCGTCTACGGATCGTGTCTGTGTAATATCAACCGTGCCACCAGTGCCAAATGTGCAGAAGTCATCTGGTTCTGGAGAATGGCTTTGCATTTCAGTTTTCTAATTTAGTAGGTTTTGCGTGCTTAATATTCACTTAGGTTTTCTTCCCTAGAGCCATACAGGCTATAAACACCTTCTCTAAAAAACAAACAAACCAAATTTCTTTCAACTGAGAAGTTAGGACTCAGAAGACACCTCCCCACCGCACTAATGTATCTTGAGGTTCATGATAAATTGTGGCTTTACCATATCATATTAAGTAGACCTCATGGGCAGAGGTAGTCCAGAAATTTTTTATCTTAAGAGCAGATGAACTTGATAGAGAAAGAAGATCATCTTCTACAATGAGGAAAGAGGTATATGTATTTTTAATAGATCCTATTGTTTCTGTAAATCACATCAACTTGTGGGTGAGACACTCCAAAGGTAGAACACTTATCTTCTCAGAAATGTAAGACAGCAAATCAAAGGCTACAAATAACTCTTTGTGTGGCTGTGGGTGATCTACTTTATTCAGTCCATGATGGTGATTTAATCACATTTTTCTAAAGAGCAGGTAGACTATTACCAAGCGAATTTGCATCACTATTTTACTTCGAGGTAAGTGTATCAAGATCATCTAACTAGAAGTTACCTTAAATTGTTAAAATATTTGTGTCTTTGGAGCAGGAAGTAAGAGTTACTGTTATAAACTGTCAAGGTGAAAGGAAATTCAACAGCTCGCTCCATACGGGCCAAGAGCGTGTCATATCCTCACTACACACAAACTGAATGATGCAAAGGAAGTGTGTTGCATTGGTCAGAGTTTGTGGCTGTCTTGGAAATAGTGTCTTGCAACAGAAATACTAATGGTAATGACTATCAGCCAGTTTTTTCTAGTTATGAAGATGTAAACTGTTCTACATCAAGAGCGTGCTTTTTCCTGCTGGCCAAAGCTGTCTGGTGGGGAGCATGAGGTAAAGGGTAGGGACCTACTCCCATTCCCAAAGGAGAATCCTCAGCTACGTTTGGGTGGTTTGGGCAATGAGTCTTCTCCAACTTTAACAGTGAGCCATGTTCAGTTGCGGATGCTATGTCTGGTTTTTGAAGGTACGGTTGTTTTTTTTTTTTTCAGGATATTTGCAAGGTAAAATTCTTAAAATTCTCAACATATGTTTTGGTTAATGCCACATCCTTTTATTTGACCTTTACTAATGAAATCTTGTATCTTTTCAAAATATGCTCCCTAAAAGATAATTTTCCTAGCCGGTGTCTTTGATTATTTTACCTCCTTTCTTTATTCAAGAAATGTATGTCTTCACATTCAAGACTCTTTCATAGCTTTAATCTGCTTCCTCTTTTTCCCTATTAAATGGTTGATTTATGCTTCTGATGAGCTTCTCTTTCAAATCAAGCATGCTGTTTCTTCGCCCCCCGTGGAGCAGCTCACTATAAACATCTTCTTCACAACTTCAGTCCTTCTAAATGCTTCTGTAAAACTTTATAAGGTCTTGATGCCTCTGAATCCTAACCAGACTTACAAGCTCAGATGGTTTTCTATGAAATGTTGCCCTGCCTTTTGCCACCCCAGTGTTATCCCTTTTCCTAGATTAAAAAGTTCTCATGAACAGGAACCAATTTTTGGTTTTTGTCTTTGTACAGAACCTTTTGTAGTTGGGTTTTTGGCCTCAGTTGGGCAGCTGTGCAGTGTAGGTGTATCAGAGTTATTGTGTGCTTCCAGGCTGTCCTTGCTGCGCTCCTTAACCTTGTGGAAGTGGCCTGATTCTTTCACCTGCTCAATTTCTTTAACAAGCTATAGTGTAAAATAGCAATGGGTGTGTGAAGCATTGTGTTTGAATACAATTCTTAAAAGTAAGGGTGCTCTTAGGTGAGAATAAGAGTATTTTTCAGACATATTTTTTTGGACTGATGTTGTACTAGGTATATACGGTGTCGTATATATGCATATTCGTATACATGCATAGCATACGAGGTTCATCTCAGAACCCTGCTGCTTTCAGACTGTTCAAGAAACTGTCTCCTATGTACTTTAAAATTTTCCAAGTTTTTCTGAACTTCACAGTTGCTTCTTTTTTAATTTAGTAATAGTGGTATAATAATAAGCTTTCATTAACATTCTCAAAATTGCTTTCCTGGAAAGATGTTAAATAATGTGTCACTTCAAATACTCCTGTATTCCCTTTTAGCAAAGAAAACTTTCTCACCATCATTTAAATGTTATTTCTTCTAAAGGAAAGAAAATCTATCCAATGCAAGAGTAAGCAGATATTCCCCCTCAGACATTTTTCCAAGGGGAAATACCTTCTTTTCATAAGAAGGGGAAAATACTCATTCATACGAAGGTTACCAACTTCCATACATATAAACTGGCATAGCTGCAGTTGCTTCTGTGGACATAATTTATTAAAACCACTGAATATTTGACATCCAGCTTTTAAATGTGAATGCTGTCTTGCAA